GCGGTGGGCAGGGCCTGGGCCGAGCTCCGCAGAGGCTGGAATGGCAGGCACAGGACCCAGCAGCCCCGGCCCTCGGCCCAGCCTGGTTCTGAGTGGCCTCTGCTTCCTGGGGGACAGGCCCCCCACTCAGGAGGGAACTGGAGTAGGGAGAGGAGGTCAGAGCCGGGAAAGGGATGAGCTGGGCAAGGTGGCCCCAATGGGTGGCCTGGCCCCTGCACGGGGTGGGGCGCTGCCCCCAGCCTTGCCCCCCCCCCCGGGAGGGCCCTACATGGGACTGGGCCCGGGACAGGCTGGGATCGGTTTTGCTTGTTGATGCCACACAGAGTCCTGCCTCCTCTTCACCGGCATCTGGTCAGAGCCGAGGAGGCGGGCTCACTGGTCGCTTATCTTGTAAATAACGCGCTTTTTCTCCGGTTTTTTTTAATGACTGTGGTTCCCCCGCTAATGCGCTCCCTCCGTAGGCGAGACCGCCATCCGCCTCGCTTCCCAATGACACGTATTTATGGAATGACCAATAAAACCCAAGCCCGTGGGTCCGCGGTCCCGCCTGCTGCTCCCCTCATTTCCGGGCTTGGGGGGCTCAGGGCTGGGCAGTGGGAGGGGGAAGGCTGCCACCATTCAGCAGACGGGGGCCCCGAAGCCTGCGGCCAAGGGCGGGTTGGAAGAAATGGGCCCTGGAGAAGAGGCAGAGATTGGGGACCAAGACCCCCCATCTCCCGAGTGATTCAGGAATGGGGGTGTCCCCATTGCCCCATCACATGCTCTCTGGTTGCTGGGGGGCTCTGTGCCCTCTGGGAACACAGGTTGGGTCCAGGGGCATCTGTTTGATGCAGTGGGGGCTGTGTTTAGGGGTGCAGGTGGGAGGGCTAGGTATCACCCATGCACACCCTTCTTGGGGTGCCTGGCTCTCCCAGGGAGCCCTTCAGCCCTGTGGGGCAGGGTCTTCTCAGGCAACACCCCCATCCCCCCACACCCTCTGCTCCCCAGCCCCACCCGCTCCTAGATCATGAGAATCGAGGGAAAACACTGATTCGGTCCTTTGCCAAAGGATTTATTAAAACGCAGAAAACCAAGACACACACAGAGTACAAAGTGAAGGGGGCGGTTGGCGACAGTCTCTGTCCAGCGTCCCTCACGTCCTCCAAGGGCGGGACAGGTCACCACTTACAGGGGCTCCGCTCCCAAAGCCCCAGCCCCCACCGAGCTGGGACCCCCCTGCTGGGACCCCCCCTGCTGGGATATCCTGCTGGGACCCAGGGCTGGTGGGCAGGGGCCTGGCCCCTCAGCTGTACCGGGGACCGCCGGGTGGGAGTCCCCTCGTCTCCAGGCTGGGGCTCAGGCTCCCGCCTCGATGCCAGGGGTTCAGGACACACACACACACCTAACGGGCCCTTTCTGGGTTCTTGTACTTAAAAAAATACTTTGTTTAAAAAAAATCTGAAAACTAAGAAAAAAATGTAAAACACAACGCCAATGACTTTGGGCTGATATACCACAACCTGTAAACTCGCAGGGACTGAACGTGGGGCTGGAGCCGGCTCCCTCGATGGAGACGGTGGTGGGCACGGGACAGCCACAGGGGCAGTGGGGAGACCCCAGGCAGAGGCCAGGCCAAAACCACGCTCCATGGTCCCCAAGCCCTCCCTCCACACGAGCCCCCAGACCCTCCAGAGCCCTGGTACCCGGGCCCTGGGAACAAGGGTACAGATGTCACCAGTCTCTGCTCCCAGCCTGGGCAGGGGACCCCCGAGGACCCTTGGAAGGGGACCCCTGGTGGGGGTGGCACCCAGGCCAGCTGTGGGCATCAGCAGGACCTTGGTCACAATTGGCAGAAAACAAAGGAGCTTCTGAAGGCGGCTGGCAGGGCGGGCCTCCTGACGGGGCCCCCAACACAGTCCGACCCTCACCCCCCTCGTCGGCTGGGAGCCCGGCGGGAGATGCTTTCGGGGACTGTGGCCCAGCAGAAGCCTACTCGGCACGGGTTCAAATAATAACAAAACCGCAGCCTGGCACCTGGGGTTCCGCTGGGCCACAACGACCCCTGATCTGCCAGCAGCGAAACCAAAGCCGCCCGAAGATGCCAAAGCAGGGGCCTCCGCCCACCGCCCTGGCGGGAGAAAACTGATAAACCAAGAAGAAAACATTCTTACGATCCCTTCTCTCTCCCAAAGCAGTTAGCAGACACGCCCTCCCCAAGTGCCCACGGCCCTCGTCCTGGGCCTCCGGGCGCCGGGCGTGGGAGCCACAGCCTTTCCCAGCCAGCAGTGCCAGGGGCCGGGCCGACTGTGGGTCCCCGGTGAGAAGGACCCAGGGGGCACTGGGAAGGGCATGGAGACAGAGGGGGCAGAGGGAGGCTCCCCGGGGAGGAAGGGCGGAAGGGAGCGGCCACAGGCCTGGGGGCGATGGACGCAGACCCTCTCCCGCTGCCAGGTGCCTCCCGGCCGGACGCTCGGACTGTCCACGTGGCCGGGGAAGGCTGGCACTGTGCCCCTCGAGGCCACCCACAGGAAGGGGCGCCTCAGGGCCTGGGTGGAGGGGGCCTGTGGCAGTCACTTGCCTGTGGCTGAGCCAGGGCCCTTGCAGGGAGCACTGGCCGGGGGACACGTGTGCAGGTGAGCCGCAGTGAGCTGGGATGCCCCCCCCCACCCCCAGAGCGGGTCGGCCGCGGCTGTGCGCATGTGCTGGAAACCAGACCCTCCCACCACCCGACCCCAATGCCAGGCTGGCCTGCCCTGGAGGGTTTGATGAGGATGGAGAGTGGGGCTGCCAGGATGAAAGGGGCATGGGGCTCAGCCCTCCAGGGCTCGGAGCGAGCCATCTACAAGGTGAGCCTCCAGATCCTGGCCCCGGGAGAGCCCAAGCCCCTCAGGGCACCCCACCCCAGGCCCAGCCTGCCTGCCACTCAAACAGATTCTTACCCAGAGCGTCTCCCCAGGACGCCCAAGGCTGGGAAATCCCTCCAGGCTGAGCGTCAGACGGCCCACCCCCTGCCCCACACCTGGGCCGTTACAGGCACCACCAGCTGGCAGAGGGGCCAAGACCGTGTTCCTGGCAGGAATGAGGTGGGACGCCTGGGAA